GGCAGAGGTGGTGGTAGTGGTGGGTGGGTAGTGATGGATGGTGAGTGGTGGTTAGTGATGGGTGGTGGTGGTGGTGGGTGGTGGGCGCGGGTGGTAGTGGCAGGTTGTGGTGGCGGATAGTGGTGATAGGTGGTAGGTAGTGGTTATTTGTGGTGGTGGCAGGTGGTGGTGATGGGTGGTTGAGGTGGGTGGTGGTGGTGGTAGTTGGGTGGTGATGGTGGTGGGTGGTGATGGTGGTGGCGGAGGTGGTTGGTGGTGGTGGTGCTGGTGGGTGGGTAGTGATGGGTGGTAAGTGGTGGATGGTGGTGATGGTTAGTGATAGGTGGTGGTGGCGTGTGGTTGTGATAATGGTGGTAGGTGGTAGTTGGTGGTGGTGGTGGGTGGTGGTGATGGGTGGTGGAGGTGGGTGGTGGTGGCAAGTGGTGTTGGTTGGGTGGTGATGGTGGTGGGTTGTGATGGTGGTGGTAGGTGGTAGTTGGTGGTGGTGGTGTTAGTGGGTGCTGGTGGGTAGTGATGGGTGGTGGGTGTTAGTTGGTGGTAGTGATTAGTGATGGGTGCTGGTGGCGCGTGGTGGTGGTGGGTGGTGTTGGTTAGATGATGAGTGGTGTTGGTTAATGGGTTTTTTAAGTATTTATAATTATTTTTTGATTTATATAAATATTATTTTATCATTTTAATTAAAAAATTGAGTTTTTTCAAAGTTGTTCATAAATATTATCGCGATAAGAAATGTTCTCGATTGAACGCTCCCATAATTAAGGACCAAAAAAGATTAAGAACCTAAGAACCAACTAATTAAGGGAAATTCTTGTCAAAACTGAACACCACCTTCCACCTACTGCAGCCACTATTTCCGACGACCTTAACACCACCACCGTCGCGTCCCTGCATTGTCTTTCTTCCACCACCTCCGCCACTCTCGATGTGCAGCTCTGTAATTTTTCTGTATCCTCTATATATATATATATATATATATTATATATATATTATATATATATATATATATATATATATATATATATATATATATTATATATAGATATATATATCCGACAACCTTTAGATCAATGTTTTTCTGATTATCGCGACACTAGATCTTTCAGATCTGCAATTTTTTGAACGTCGTTGCACCAGATCTTGTATATCTGTGATTTTCCAATGACCGCGACCTTTTTTCACTCCTCTCGCTTCTGCTCCGCCATAAACACCACCACTAGCATGTCCACATATCAGATCTCTTCCACCACCGACACCTCCTTTTCCTTCTGCTTATCTCCACCACATCCTTCGTTTTCTCCTCCAAACATCGTCTTCATGTTGCTTCAGATCTGCTTCGATAATGATCTATACGGTAATAAGATCAGATCTTGAATATCCGAAGACTCTAAGGAATATGACAATCTTAGATCTGTAAATCACATCAGATCTGGAAATAATGTGCAAACAAGGTGTTTGATGAAATGCCTCAACGAGATAATGTGCAAACAAGGTGTTTGATGAAATGCCTCAACGAGATCTGTAAGTTTTTAAGTTCTGAATAAGTGTTTAAAACTTTGTTTGAAGCCTTATATTAGTGTCTGAAGCGTGTATTATGTTATGAATTTTGTTTTTGTTTTTGTTTTTTTGTTTTTGTTTTTGTTTTTGTTTTTGTTTTTTTTTTTTTTTTTTTTTTTTTTTTTTTTTTTTTTTTTGCAATAAGTTGTGCATTTTAGTGTTTGAAATATGGAATTAAGCTATGAATTAGTGTCTTAAATGTTTAATCAAACTATAAATTATGATTTTTTTATGCAAATCTAAATTTTATGTGTAAATAAGTTGTGAAATTAGTGTATTAATCTGTGAATTTTATTCAGAACTTAATATAATAAATTTACATTTTAATATACACAAAAACCTTCGGATATGAATGTATAAATATAAGTTTTAAGTTGAGAATATTATTGTAAATATATAAGTTTTGTGTATTAAACTGAATTACACTGTGAATTTATTGTATTAAACTACTAGTTTTATGTATTAAGCTGTGAATTGATTGTATTAAACTATGAATTGATTGTATTAAGTCTTTTTTTAAAGAGACAATTATTAAGTTATTAATTAACTATATTAAGTTATGAATTTTCTATATTAAACTGTGAATTTATTATATTAAATGGTGAATTTTATACATTAAATTGTGAATTCACAGTATTAAACTGTGAATTAACTATATTAAGCTATGATTTTTTTAACAAAATTTGTATTTAAAAAAAAGAATCATTATACACATATATGATTTTCTCTAAATTTAAATAAATTATATAAAATATAAACTATTAATATTGTATAAATTAAGCTTTAAAAGAAACACTAGCCTTCATATTTAAAGGTATATATATAAGTTTTAAGTTAAAATATAACATTTCTGTATATTAAACCGTAAATTTATTCTATTAATCTATGAATTTTGTGTATTAAAGTGTAAACTGACTGTATTCAACTGTGAATTGATTATATTAAGTTGTGAATTTTTTATTTATTTTTTCGTTACAATATAAGTTATTTATGTCTGAATGGTTGTATTAATTTTCTTGTATAAATATCTAAGAATGTAACAGTTGTTATAATTGTTTTGCATTAAACTCTAAATTAGTGAATTAATAAGTTTATTAAACTGTGAATATACTATTTAAGTTGTTAATACATGATCTTGTATACATAGCGGATTTGGAAGAAAATGATGATTACAACGGTGACACAAGTGTTTGGTGACAGTGTGTTGTAGTGGTTGGTGATAGTAGAATTTGTGTTTGACTTTTTTGAAATTTTGAATTATTGTAAAATTAATTGTATTAAGTTGTGAATTTTGTGTATTAGACTGTAAATATACTATATGAAATTAGGTAATATATTATATATTATATATTATATATATATATATATATATATATATATATATATATATATTATATATATATATATATTTTGTGTTACAATGCAAATGAAAATATTAAACTGTAAAATTATGAATTTGATATTTTCTTATAAAAAAAGACAAGAAAAAAATGGTTTTTAAATGTTTAATAAGCATTCATATGTTTAATAACTATAAAATGGATAAAATGGAGGTTCTTAGAGTTTTTAATCTTTTGTTGTTCTTATTTGAACCTCTCCTTATATATATATATATATATATATATAATATATATATATATATATATTATATATATATATATATATATATATATATATATATATATATATATATTTATATAACACCTTTATACACTATCATCCACCGACTTGTTAGGAGTAAGATAGTAGACATGATAAATCTACATAAAAAACGAGCGTAATATGCTCTATAAATTACTTCCATATCTATACAGCCTTTATAAACCAAAACTGCCTGATACAATCTTCTGACTTTATTGGCAAGTAGGAACTTCGGACAAAAAAAGAACTTCACCTTTCCACACAAAAATTCCACTCAACAATATGTAATCGCGAAATGTTTGTAATCGTGTAATGTATGTTACCACTTGTAAACCAAGTGTGTCTTCTACAATCTTCTAGCTTTCGCAAGGAACTTTGGATAAAATAAAAACAACTTCGGACTTACTCAAAAAAAAAAAAAAAAAAAAAAAAAAATTACGAGGACATACACACGTGAATTCCCTAAGAAAGGTAATAAGCACAATAGTGTACAAGAAGTAGAATGTGATCTTATGAGTAACACCCTTATATATATAGACAAAGGAGGTGTAGTCAACCAATCATACATAACAAACACAAGGACATACAGACGTGAATTCCCTAACGAAATGCTCACACTATCATGCAGCGACTTTTTACCTGTAACATAGTACACGGAATCACCCTATATACTAAACTAGCATAAACCAAAGGACTTCTAACCCAACGGTATCCGGTATTGCCTTTCATCCTTGAGGTTGAGGGTTTAAATCCCGTCGTGGACATAGGTGGATTTAAGATGTATTTTAGGTTAGAACTTCGGATAAAAAATAACTTCCGACTTCCTCACAAAAATTGAACTCAACAATATGTAATCGTGTAATGTGGTTGCTTAGATTTCTCACGTATGCCACATGCTAATTCTTTGGTCTTATTTATTTTTAGATAGGTGTTTCTATATCTTGTAATGTTTATTCGATCTTAAAAACATTTTATTTTTTTCCACTACAACCTGACTCTTTTGTTTATAATTCTACCTTCTCTTTTAAAAATATGCTCTTTTTGCGTATTCTTTTAACAATTACTACTCCAAACAAACCTTCCGATCATTTAACATTAGAAACATGTAGATCCAAGCTTCATAGTTGTGTTTAGAAGAATTAGTCTAGGAGGTAACCAGAATATGAATAGTAGGGTAGGCGAATTTAGTTAACCATAAACCGAATCCTTGAAGAGATTATACTTGTTAACCAAGCACAAGAATGTATCGTATTATCTGTACATAGTCATCCTCCATATGTAAAGTGTTGGAAAATAATCTAATTATATTTCATTGGACCATTTATGGAGTGAAATAAGTTTATTGGGTAAATTTTTATTTGCATCTTAAGGTTCCCGTAAATGACTAATTATATCCCACAGCTGTGTTTTCTGTTAACTAATTGGAATAACAAAGATATAAGTTATCTTGTATACATATCCCCAAAACATTCATTTTATAGATATAAGTTATCTTGTATACATAACCGTGTAATATTTTCTCATCCCAAAGAGTGTATCATTTTGGCCAATCAGAGTTGATCATCAACCAATATATTCACATGGTTCTCCAATTCTTATGTGGTTTGTCACATTATTTGATTGAAACTGTATTAAATTAAATACTAATTTGATATAAATGGCTTTAAATCTCAACAAAAGGTCTACTCATGTCGCAAAGAGATATCACCTATATTGTGATTTGAAATCTCCTAAGTGTACAAAAGTACGTTCATTTTCCACCAAGAATTTTAAACACCATTTTATCAATTGTGGATTACCTCTCGTCAGTCCTTTTTATCCAGAGTGACGAAAGTAGATTTATTGCCTACCATTCTTCGCACCAATGATCTTTCATTTGAAAGCATTAACACAACTTCTGACATCGTTGGTCTAATGCCAACCGGTGATTGTGTGCATGTTAAAGCAATTTCGATTATCTTCTTGACATGTTCTTGTTCACTTTCGTTTAGATCTAAGTTCTCATCAACGACCTTCAGATGCATGTTGTTCTCATACGACCTCCATGCCTGGTCATATTTTATAGTCAGTTACTAATTTTCAAATCATTATTCATTAAAATTTTATACGGTTGTATCTTACATCTTCAAGGAGGTAATACATGTCCGATCTTTGGGAGTTCATATCATTGCACCTTCGACCACTAATGATTTCAAGGGCCACGACACCAAAGCTGAATGTATCCACCTTCTCCGATAAATGTCCATGAGTTGCGTATTCTGGTGCAGTATAACCCCTATATTAACAGTTAGTAAAAATGCAATGACATGTTAAGCGAATTGAATCCAATTAAAAGAATAAAGAATCATGAATAAAATATTAAATTTTAAATAAACTTACAAGGTCCCAGCAAATTTAGTGCTGACATGGGATTCATCTTCACTATGAAATCTTGCCAATCCAAAGTCCGCAATTTTTGGCTGAAAATATTCATCAATTAGAATGTTTGCTGATTTTATATCCCTATGAATTATTTTGATGTGGAATTCATGGTGCAAATGTGCAAGACCCCGAGCTATCCCAAATATGATCTCAAACCGTTGTTTCCATGTTAAACTTCCTCGTGCTTCACCTGTTTATTATGGATTTACATTACAGAAATGAAATATCAACAAAATAAACAATCAATTATGTAATTATCATTGTCTTGATCATAATATATAATACCAATCAACTTACCCCACAAGAATCTATCAAGGCTACCATTAGGCATATATTCCAGGACCAAAAGGAGCTCTGGTCCTTCACTTGACCATCCAAGAACACGGACTAGATTACGGTGACGAATGTTGCTCATCAGTTTGACTTCATTGTCAAATTCTACTCGTGCTCTGCCATGTCGTACAAGGAGTTTTTTTACAGCCACGACATTCTTGTCATGTAAAATTGCCTATAAAAAATACAAGACTTTTAATTTAAAATATAACCTGTTGTTATATTATCCTTCGAATTCACACGAAAAAATTATGAAATTATGTAATGGTTCTTACTTATGAAAAGTTATATAAATGGTCTTTGTGTAAAAAATATGTAAAATGGTACTTTTAGTATGACAAAATTTTAGAAATAGTTTTTGTCTAATTAGTAA